AGGCAGTATCAAAATGTTTTCTCAGTATTTCTTCAGTTTATACTTTCACCAGCACAATATATTCCAATACATGACATCCTTGGGCCTTTTTAATTTTTACTACTCAGTTAACTTTATGATGGTACTTAAATATTGTCTGGACTTCTGAAGTTATGATATGTAATGGGTCGTTTTTCTTGTTTTTTCCAGAAATAACTCTGTTGTCTTAGTCCTATGCTTTTTGTGGAAATTTTATAATCTTACCAAGTTGTATGAAAAATCGTGTTACAATTTTGACAGTAGTAGCACTGAATATATATATATATATATGGAGAATGTATACATTTCTGAACATAATCGGTTCCTATTTCTTTATATTTAGAATTTTAAAATGTCAGGTGACATTTCTGTAGATATAGATCTTTTGTTAGATTTAGTCTTCATTTCTTTTTCAGTACTGGGGATTGAACTCAGGGGCACTTGGCCACTGAGCCACATCCCCAGCCCTGTTACATTTTATTTAGAGATGTGTCTCGCTTTTGCTGAGGCTGGCTTTGAACTCAACAATCCTCTTTCTCCAGTTTCCTGAGTCACTGGGATTAAAGGCATGCACCACCATGCCCAGCTTATTCTTCATTTCTTGATATCTTATTATAGATGTAAATATCTCATTTTCAGTTACTTTTTCCTAGTATTTGTACTGGTATTAAGAAATGCAGTTCACTTTTATGTATTAATATATCTAGCCATTCTGCTAAAACTTTCCTATTTTCTGTAATAATTTGTTGGATTTTTTGGGGGGGGGGAATGGAGTGTTTCTAACTAAATGACCATATCATCTTCAAATAACCCCAGTTTTTTTTTTTTTTATAATTCTTTTGGATCTAATTACTATTACTATTATTATTATTATTATGTCTTATTGCCTGGCTGGCTGAGATTTCCTGTAAAATCATTTGTGACTTTAAAAGGGAATACTTTTACTATTTACCCATTTAGGATATTTACTACAGCTTTTTTTAATGTAATTTTTTAAGATAAGGAAATTGTTTAAAGATATATTCTTGTGTAACAGAGTTCTCTTATTAAATAGCAAATGTCTATTATGAAAGGATATTAAATTTTTTCAAAGGCTTTTTCTGCCTCTAAATGATTTTGTTTATTTCCTTTTTGGTAGGTTACTTCAGTTAATTACATTTATGATTTTTTCTAATATTAAGTCATCCAATAGCTCCATTAAGTCATGGTGTGGTTTCTTTTTATATGCTGTTGGATTAAATAGTATTTTGTTTCAGGCTTTTAAAATCAATATTATTAATGAAATGTGCCTCAGTTTTTCTTTTTGTGATGACTTTGTCTTTTTTAGGTTCATGCTGTCTTCATGAAATGAGATGGATTTTCCTCTTTTAAAGTTATAAAGTGTGTGTGTAAAATGATCTGTTTCTTTAAATTTTGGCAAAATTGGTGTGTAAAATCATCTGAGGTTGTTTTCTGTTTGAGAGGTTTTTTTTTTTTTTTTTTAAACCATTGTTTCACTTTAATAAAGGACCATTCAGGCTGTTTCTATCTTTTTTTGTTAGTTTGAATTAGGATACTTTTTGTTAGAATTTCTCCATTTCTGCATAAGTTTTCAAAATGGTTTCTTCTGGATTTTTATTTGCATATTGGTGTGAAAGTGATTTATACTTTATTAATTTTCCACCTTTAACTAGTTACTTCATACTGTCATTATCACCAGATGACTGGTTTCAGTTCCCTTCAATCATTCCTATAAACCTGAGTCTTTCTGAAGCAATATTAATTTTTATTTCCCTAGTAAAACTTTTTACTCTTATAGTAATCCTCAAGGTCAGTGATTTACTGTAAATCAGTATGCTCTTTACCTCTTAAATATATCCTCTTATTTTGTTTCTTTGTTTAAACTCTTTATTTCATAGAACAAATTTCATTCTCTGTTCTCTGGGTCCAAGTTTTCAAAGCCCTGTTAAAATTTCACTTATAGGGAAACCTTATCTGATACTCTATTGTAAAATGATTTCTTCTTTAACTCTTTTGGTTTTATTGTTCCTCTTTTTTTTTTTTTTTTGGTGATGAGCAGCACATTTATCTCTACTTTTTAAAAAGTTTTGTTATTTTGAGATGGGGTCTTGCTATGTTGCCCAGGTGTTCAAACTCCTGGGCTCAAGGGATCTGCCTGCCTTTGCTTCCCTAATCAGCCAGCTACTTGCTAGAATTATAGGCACATTCTAAAGTAACATTTCTTTTAAGAAACCATAATTTACCTTCTATACTGTTTTTTTCTGGACTGTTAATAAATGTTAAAATTTAGTTTGTTTATATTGCTATAGCTATGACTCAATGAAGATTGATTATATAAGTAGTACTTTAGGCTAAGTATTATTCTCCAGGGCATCTACCATGTTTTTTTTTTCCTTCATAAGTTTTGAAAAGAAGTTATTCTTGAGTACAAGGTTACATAATCAAATGCCTGCAGTATCAGGTTGACAACATCAATAAGTGAATTGTTGTGTATAAGAGACATGAAATGAAAGAGCTCTGATAAACTAAAGTGTATACCCCATCAAAGGAATTCAAGCCAAATTCTTAAGGTTTTGAGCTAGCTCTGCTTGTGACCCCTGTTCTATTTTTGTTTCTGTTGTTGAACTCTACTACTTAACTTTAAAATGTGTTAAAAACCAGAGTATATAGAATATTCATAATAAAGAATTTAAAAAGTTGGGAATCACATAAATAATATATATTGCTTTAGGTTTTTTGTAGCATAAGTTACAAACTTTTCTCAAATATGTACATATATTTATGTATAGACACACATATATATGGTAATATTATGTTGGTAATTCTTAAGGACAAAAATCACATCTCTCTTGTTCACTGTTCAGCATTTTCCACAAAGACTGGCAAATATTATTTGAAAGAGTGGCTATACTTTTTAATTTTTTTCCCCTTCTTTTGATAATTCTTTACTGTGTTTAGCATAACCACTTAGTGGCACTAAACTCTTTTTAAAACTTGAAGTATTTTTATTCCCATGTTCCCATGTACACTGTCATTACTCTTCTTGAGACACATGCACAAGATGAGCTATAAGCTATAATTATTCATGGACTTTATAAATTGTTATTCACATCAAAAGAGAAATAAGAGCAACTATAGGACATTTTTGTCTACTTCAGTAAAAAAAAAAAATTGTAAAGTGGTAGGTTGCAGATTTGAAGTCCTTAGGTCATAGAAATGTTTCATAGATAACTCTAAAAGCTTTGCTTTGTAACCCAGCATTGATTATATAGTATATCTTTAATGTGTCATGATTTTGAAAGAATGTGTGAACTCTGACTTCACTGTACTCCTGTCATCAGACAATTTTATCCTACGTAATTTGGCCCAAGATAAAGGGAACGTTAAATATTAGAAAGTTTTAGTTAGCCACATTTATGGTCTTCTTTAATCATTAAAACTTATCATCCAAATTCAGTAAAGAATTGATTCACATCAAAGTTTATGTTAGTAGAAATCAGTGACAATGTTTTTTTTTTTTAAAGAGAGAGTGAGAGAGGAGAGAGAGAGAGAGAGAGAGAGAGAGAGAGAGAGAGAGAGAATTTTTAATGTTTTATTGTTTAGTTCTCGGCGGACACAACATCTTTGTTGGTATGTGGTGCTGAGGATCGAACCCGGGCCGCACGCATGTCAGGCGAGCGCGCTACCGCTTGAGCCACATCCCCAGCCCCAGTGACAATGTTAATTGGATTCCAGATCTCCTCTAAATCATCAATTCTGAGATGATTTTGAATACGTATTACTTTCATAGAGGAATTATAGAAATGGTAGTGGTATTATATTTGTTAGGAATTGGGAAGAAGAGAATGGAGAACACAGTCTTATCATGTCTGTTAAGATGGGGAGTAAGAGAAAGTACCTTAGTTGAGAATATAGTCTTAATCTTTTTGTGTCTCAGCTTTCACAAGTATAAAACAAGAATAAGAATGTTGCTTCTTTAGGCTAGGGTTGTTGCTCAGCCCTGGGTTAGATCCCCCTGCACTCAAAAAAAAAAAAAAAAAAAAAGAAGAAGAAGAAAGAAAAAATTAGGGGTGAGGATTGTAGCATTTATCTAGCATGAGTCAGGTTCTGAATTTGATCCCCAGCACTGTCAACAAACATAAATAAACAAACAACAACAGCAAAACCCAAAGAATAGTTTTTCTTCTTCATAGGTTAGAAGGATTAAAAGATTTAATAAATGAGCTAGGCATGGGGCACAGGCCTGTAATCCCAGGAGCTCCGGAAGCTGAGGTAGGAGGATCTCAAGTTCAAAGCCAGCCTCAGCAACTTAGTGAGGCTCTGAGCCATTTAGTGAGACCCTGTCTTGAATAAAAAATAAAAAATGGTGGGGGTTGAGGATGTGACTCAGTGCTTGAACACCCCTACGTTTAATCCCTGGTGCCAAAACAAAACAAAACAAAATAAATTTGTTATATGTGAAGTGCCTAGAAAGCTACATGGCTGTAGCTTTTTTTGTTAAATGAACATTTTAATAGCTGGAGTTCAAAACTGTAAAAACTGATTGAGTGGACATTATATATTCTTTGGGAGGATTCAAATAAGAGTAGAAACTAATATGAGTTGTTGCAGGATTATCTAAAAGCCACGTAAATGAGTTAAAAGTTTGTGCTGGGTTGGGATAGGCAGAAATACGTTTAGGAGGAAGTGAGTGTTAAGGGAGGATAAGTTCATTTGGCTTAATCATCTGTGTTGGATGATTGGTCTTGTAACCTTAACTGAATTGGCTTTCATTAATGTTATAAGTTCATTTGTTTTCTTGAATCAACTCCAGAATTGCAGCCAATTCCTGAAAATAGACTAGACTAGAAATCAAACATTTTTATTATTTTTATGCTAAGACTATGAAATAAAAATTGGAAACTATTAATATATTTTGGGGGTCATTTTCACCAGTTAAAAACTTAAAAAATTAATAATATCTTTGCTTTTATGTTTTATAGGTAATTAACAATGCATGTGCCACTCAAGCCATTGTAAGTGTGTTATTGAATTGTACCCATCAAGATGTTCATTTAGGAGAGACATTATCAGAGTTTAAAGAATTTTCACAAAGTTTTGATGCAGCTGTGAGTAAAATCTTCTTCCTAATCCTAAAATGACCTCTTTGTCATAGTTCTTATTTTAATATACTGCTTCTAAAATTATTTTAGATGAAGGGTTTGGCACTGAGCAATTCAGATGTGATTCGACAAGTACACAACAGTTTTGCCAGGTAATGAGTCTTTATGTTAAATAAGTACAGTTTCTGTTTTTGTTTCTTTGTCTCATTGTTTTTTTCTTAACTATAGACAGCAAATGTTTGAATTTGATGCAAAAACTTCAGCCAAAGAAGAAGATGCTTTTCACTTTGTCAGTTATGTTCCTGTTAATGGAAGACTGTATGAATTAGATGGATTAAGAGAAGGACCAATTGATTTAGGTAATCTGGTTTCTTGGTGTTTAACTTTTTTTAAAAAAACATTTATTTTTTAGTTGTAGATTGACACAATATCTTTATTTATAGTACTGCTTACGTTTTAAAAGTGGAGGTTACTATAAGGTAATATAATATGAAAGTGTTAGCTTTTTATGGAATTAAAATAACATAGGAATGACATGTTAACTGCAATAATTCAATTGACCTTTAATTTTTTTTCTAAGAGAAAATATTTTTTTAACCCACAGATTACATAATTTATATTTTATTTTCCAGTTAACTTAAAAAAATACTCAGTAAATTTAAAAGGTTGTTATTGTCATTTTTATTTACTGGGGGATAACAAGCATTTCTTACATCATCTTGGAATAAAATATTTTTATTTGGCTTGAGTATGGTGGCTCATGCTTGTAATCCCAGCGTCTTGTGAGGCTGAGGTAAATTTTTTTTTTTTTAATTTGAAGTTGGATCATTAACAATCACTTTAATTTACTGTTTAGCAATCTCCTATTAAATATCTTTCTTTGTATTTAGATAGAATGTTATTGTGCTCTTCTTTGTACTAAAGGGCAAAATTGTCCTTATCTTACCCTGTCTTTAACCTTAAGGAGAGATGATAAATGGTTATTAAGGGTACAATCTGTAGTTCTGAAATAATACTAGATCCACAAAAATTTGGGGTTTTTTTGCCCCTCACAGTGCTGGGAATTGAACCCAGGAACTTGTACATGCTAGACTGCATCCAAACCCATCCATAAATAATTTTAACTCCTTATTATGAGCTTATTAAATTTTCTCTTTTCCTTTTTAAAATAGATTGAATGAAGTCCAGCAGAACATGTTTTAGTTGAGAATCTGATATTATATGCTATTCATAAAATTTTGTACTTTTTTTTTTAAATTTAAATTTTTTAAAATATTTATTCTTAAGTTTTAGGTGAATACAACATCTTTATTTTACATTTACATGGTTCTGAGGATCGAACCCCGTGCCTCGGGCATGCTAGGTGAGCACTCTACCACTGAGCCACAATCCCAGCCCCAAATTTTGTACTTTTGTATTAAAAATTCTTTAAGACTGGGTTATAGCTCATGGTAGAGCTCTTGGCATGTGTGAGGCCCTGGGTTCAATCCCCAGCATTGAAAAAAAAAGTTAATGTACGTTCGTTTTGTTTGTACTTTTTGACCATATTCTTGTATAGAACAGTAGTTTATTTAATGTGAATTTACATGCTTCCTCTATATTTTAAGATATGAATTTTTCTGTGTCTTTTACAGAAAATTTATAGAATGTTTCTTCAATTCTGTAGATGCTTGTTTTCCCTACTGTGCAATAGTCTATCTTGCTTATCTGGTCAACATTCTTTATTCATTAGAATTATCAAATATAAAGGAAGTAAAAAGATAAAACAGCCAGTTTTACTGTACAACTGGTAGCTATGCTATAACTTCTAGTGAAAAGAAGATTAAAACATTTGGGTAAAATTGGACCACATTATGGATGGATTTCACTTTTTAATTTTTGAGTTAGGATTGTGGGAGTCAGGTAAATAAGGATTGAATCCTTATTTTGTCCTAACATGTTTTATCATCTATAAAGTCAGGATAGTTATCCTTATCTCATAGGATTGTGAGTTTAAATGAGTAAACTTCCTAATTTATTACTTCCTCAAATATTTGTTTAGTATCTCCCATGTAAGACAATAATATGACAGTACAAATTAGGCTAATATTCTTTCTCCTAATCTTTAATCAAGATAATAAGAATTAAAGCTTAATATAGTAATGCTAAAATGACTTACTGTCCTGAATTTGCTAAACGTATTTATAGAAAGATTTTTGAGGGAGTGTTGATGTTGATTATGCTTATTTTTGTTTTAATTAGTTTTAAAATTTCTTTCTAGGTGCTTGCAATCAAGATGACTGGATCAGCGCAGTACGGCCAGTCATAGAAAAAAGAATACAAAAGTAAATGCTCAGCTAATTTCATTGGCATAAACATTCAGGATTTTAGTTTTGTTTGTTTTTTCTTTTTTTTTTTTTTTGAGCACTGTATATAGAACATTGCTTTTGATTGCATTAATGCATTCAGGAAATCTATTTCTAAAAATGTCCAAATTTTACATGGATGTCAGATACGACATAACTTTAGAAAATTTAAATGTGCTAGTCTCCATTAAGTGAGATGTTTTTAAATATTTGTATAGATTGATGTTTTTTTAAAATTTTGTTTTTGATGGCTTTTTAAGTACTCAATTATTTAGAGGTAATTATATATTCATACTCAGTTATAAGAAAGAATATAGATATATTGTGTATTCTACCTTGCATGGTAGTATCTTGCAAAAACTATAGTATAATATCACAGCCAGGATATTAACATTGATATCATCAAGACAGAGCAAATAAATGGAATCGTACATTGTGTTATCTTTTTACATTAGTTTTTTTTTTTCACTTAACATAACTGGAGATTATTCTGAGTTGTTAAATGTATCAGTAGTTTATTCTTAGTTAATATGTACTACTCTGGTGTGAACATATCAGTTTCTTGCCTATTAACTCATTGAAAAACATATGGGTTACATAGGCATTTTTTGCTATTATGAATAAAACTGCAATAAGCATTTTTGTACACTTTCATATAAATATGAATGAGATAAATGCATAGGAGTGTCCATAAAGTTTTATGGTAAATGCATGTTTAGTTTTTTCAGAAACTAGCAAACTCTTTTCCATAGTGGTTACACTATTTTACTTTCCTAGAAAATATGAATAATCCAGTTTCTCTCTGCATCCTTTCTAGTATTTGGTGGTGTCAAATTATTTTGTTTTAACCATTCTTATATTTCATTGTGTTTTTTGTCTACGTTTTCCTATTGACTGATGATGTTAAAAATCTCTTTATGTCCTTCGCCCATTTTCTAATTTTTGACTGTTGAGTCCCCAGTGTTTTTTAAATACTTGTTCTTGATCAGACATGTTGGCTGCAAATATTCTCTTCTAGTCTGTAGCCCATCCTTTCAACATTGTTTCTCATAGAGCAGAGTCTTATTCCCAGTGAAGTTCGATTTATCAATATTTCTTGCTATGAATTATATTTTTGTTCACAAGATTAAAAGTGCTTTGCCTGGCCCTAGATCCTGTTTTCTTTTTCTTTTCCTTAGAATGTTTATAGTTTATTTTATATTAAATCTGTGATCTGCTTTAGGTAGTTCTGTATATGGTTTGGCATTTAGGTCAAGATTTTTTTGTTATTGTTGTTTTTTGTTTTTGCTTACACGTATTCAATTGCTCTATCATCAGTTGTTAGAAAAGACTACCCATTTTCTACTGAATTTTTCCTGAACCTTTAAAAATCAAATAAGGCATATTTGAATGATTCTAATTTGAGATTTATTATTCATCTATTGTCCTACTAGTAGCACACAATCTTGGTTGTTGTAGCTATGTCTTGAAATCAGGCAGACTGATGCCTTCAACTTCATTTCTTTCTTTGAAATTGTCATAGCTATTCTAGTTCCTCTGCTTTCTCGTATAAATTTTCATTTTTTATTTTCTCTGTAGCCACAAAAATTCTTAGATAGAATTGTGATAGGAATTTATTAAACATTTAGATCAATTTGAGGAGAATTGTTATCTGTAGTATGTTGAGTTTTCCAATATGAATCTGGTCTCTGAATTTATTTAGATCTCTAAATTTCTTTTATTTATTTATTTTTTTATGCCCCGTGGGGTATTCTTTTATCAGCATTTTGTGGCTTTTGGTATATAAATCCTGTACACATTTTGTCTGATTTATACCCAAGCACTTCATATTCTTTTGAGTGATATTATAAATGATATTGTATTTTCATTTTTTGTTTCCATGTCATCATTGGCAATACATGGAAATAAAATTGTTTTTTTCACCCTTTGTCTTATATTCTTTGTACTGAACATATCCAAATTTTATGGCATTTTTCTACATAGATAATCAAATCATTTGCAAAAAAAGGGACAACTTTGAATTGATTTCTCCTTTCAGCTTTATCATTTTTGCTTCATGCATTTTCCAGCTGAGTTGTTTGGTGCATGCATATTTATCATTACTGTTTCTTGTTTTTGGATGAACATTTTTATCAATACATAATGTCCCTTTTGCCCTCTCAGTCTCTAATAGTTTTCTTTGCTATGAAGTTTGTCTCTTTATGTAGCTACTCTTGCTTCTTTGGATTAACATATGTATGATTTTTTTTTCCTTTTTTCTATTTTTAACTTACTCATATCATAATTAAAGTGAGTTTTTTTTAAGGGAGTCATTTATTTGATGTATTGATCACTTACATCAAATGCAGTGAATTTATAAGATCTGAAATTAAGTGTACATTTAATATAATTATATGTTATTATTAATTCTGCCATTTTTCTTTTTGTTTTATTTTCTATTTTCTGCCTACTGTAAGTTATTTAAATACTTTTGAAATTCCATTTTTATTTATATGTATTATTCTTAGTGTATTTCTTGTGTGTGTGTGTGTGTGTGTGTGTGTGTGTGTGTGTTACTGAGGATTGAAACCAGGGATGTTGTGCTATGAGCTACCTCCCCAACCCTTTTAATTATTTGGTTTGATATAGGATCTCACTAAGTTGCCCAGGCTGATCTCCAGCTTGTGAATCTCCTGCTTTAGCCTCCCAAGTAGCTGGGATTATAATCATGAACCACTACATTTGGCTTAGTGTATTACCTGTATTTTGTTTTTAGTGGTTTTTAAGTTTGTCACAGTCTATTGGTGTCAACGTTTTACCTGTGTGGGTGTAATATAGAACCTTACCTTCCTTTACATACTCTATATAACATAGTTAAATAATTCTTCTGTATACATTTTAGGAAAACCTTTTTCCCCCCCTCCGTTGGTACTCAGGATAGGACTCAGGGGCACTTTACCACTGAGATACATCCCGAGCCCTTTTTTAAAATTTTGAGACAGGGTCTCACTAAGTTGTGTTTTTTTTTTTTTAAATATTTATTTTTTAATTTTTGGCGGACACAACATCTTTGTTGGTATGTGGTGCTGAGGATCGAACCCGGGCCGCACGCATGCCAGGCGAGCGTGCTACCACTTGAGCCACATCCCCAGCCCTCACTAAGTTGTTTAGAGGCTTGCTAAATTGTTGAGGCTGGCCTCAAGTTTGTGATACTCCTGCCTCTGCCTCCTGAGCCATTAGGATTACAGTTGTGTACCACAATGGTTGACTGAAAACAGTATGATTTTCACTTTAACACAAAACATAATTTAACAAAAGTTAAAGAGAAGGAAACATTTTATTTAACCATTTTTAAAATTCTTTACATTGTAATTCCTTCCTGATGTTCCAGGATACCTTTCTTTCTTTTTCTTTTTTAAAGTTTATTTTTTAGTTTTAGGTGGACACAATAATCTTTATTTTACTTTTATGTGGTACTGAGGATTGAACCTCATGCACGAGTATGCTGCCACTGAGCCACAACCCCAGCCCAGGATACCTATCTTTATCATTTCCTTTCTGCTTAGAAAATTGTTAGCTTATTCAAAGAGTAAGTTCTAAATGAACAGATTTCTTATTTTTCTTAATCCAAAATATTTTAATTTTTCTTTCATTCCTGAAGGATATTTTCACTAGATATTAGAATTCTGGATTGACATTCTTTTCTTTCAGCACTTGAAAAATTTTATGCCACTTCCTTTTGGACACCATTTTCTTTTTTTTTAACTGTAAATCCATTGTCATTCTCCTGTAGGCATGGTGTTTCTCACATGCTGCTCTCAAGATATTTTTCCTTCTCTTTAGCTTTTAGAAATTTGGCTACATTGTGTTTTGGGATTTGCTCAGCTTCTTAAATCTATAGGTGTATGTTGAGTCAAATTTGGAAAGTTTTCAGCCATTATACCTTGGAATACTTTGTAAACCTCACCCTTTTTCTCCTCCCTTTCCTGGACCCCAAGGACTTGATTGTTGGATCTTTTATTTAGTCCCACAGGTCCCTGAGGCTCTATTAATTTTGTCTATTTGTTTTCTTGGTTCAGATTGGGTAATTTCTGTTCTGTATTTTAAAAAATTCACTGATTGTTTCCTCTGGGAGTCCCCTCCATTCCATTTTCCTGTTTGAGCCCATCCATTGAGGTTTATTTTATTTTTTATTTGGGTTATAATAAAATTTCCATTTGTCTCTGTTTAATATCTTGGTTTTTTGTTGAGACTTCATTTTTCACTTGTTTCCAGTGTATTTGTAATTGCTCCTTGAAATCTTTGTAAGATAAGTTTGCCATCTGTCATCTCATTATCAGGTGGATTATTTATTCAGTTTGAGATTTTCATGGTTTAAGTATGAACCTGAACATTCTGGGTATTATATAATAAGACTCTGGATCTCATTAAATAAGTTCTGTTTTGGCTGGACATGGTGGCTCACGCCTGAAATCCCAGCAGACCAGAGGCTGAGACAAGAGGATCCCAAGTTGAAGGCCAGCCTCAGCAGTTTAGTGAGGTCCTATGCAATTTAGTGAGGCCTAGTCTCAAAATAAAATGGGTTGGGGATGTGGCTCAGTGGTTGAATGCCCCTTGGGTTCAATTTCTAATAATAAATAAGCAAATAATTAAAAGTTCTGTTTTTGCTGTTTTTTAAAAAATAATATTTCTTTTTTAGTTATAGATGGACACAATGTCTTTATTTTACTTTATGTGGTGCAGAGGATCGAACCCAGTGTCTCATGCATGCTGGGTGAATGCTCTACCTCTGAGCCACAACTCCAGCTCATGTTTTCACTGTTTTTAATGAACACTGCTCTGGCAGGGTAAATTGGAGGTGCTTCTTCATTACTGCCAGATAGGATTGTAAGTTCAGGTTTTCTACACAGCTTCTATTAAGGAGGGAAGAGGTTCCTTGGTTTCCTTGTTATTGCTGGGCGGGGATCCGGGTTTGGGCCTGCAAACAAGGCTTCCATGGATACCATTCTGTTTGCGAGAGATCAGAGTGCCTTGTTAACTGATCCCTGCATGGCTTCTACTGATACTGAAGTGGTACAGGGATGGGCTTCTTTGCCACTAGATGATTGTTTTGGTTTCTATTCAATGTCTTCTAATAGTGCAAATGGGTATTGTTATTTTTACCTGGCAGGAATAAAATTCCCAACTCACTACTCAAGTCTTCATTTTGACACTAACTTGGGTGCCTCATTACAGCCTAGTGAGATGGGAAGTCTAGGCTCTCTTCTTCACTTTTGTTGATGTGGTTGGAGTGGGATCATTGTTGTGTTTGGCTACAGCAGAATAATTATTATCCAAAAGTTTTTTGTGTTGCTACACTGCCCCTGTTCTGATTGACTAGCAAGAACAGATTTTTATTGGACTTTTTGTTTTTTCTTTTTGGCTGTTGCTGGTTTCTTCATTTCCAAGTCTTGGATGAATTATGAATGAGGCATAAAAAGAACTCAGGAAATTCATCATCATGTCATTCTTGGGTCTTGAGTTCCCTAGCTTGTCTGCCTTCTCTCTCATTTGAACATTTTGTCTTTGTCTCTTTCTAATATATATGTTCTGGATATTGAACTTAATGGGAAGAATAGGAACATGCAAATTCCTCAGGTGAAAATTTTAAAACAGTTTTTACATATTTCATGCTTTTATTAGGCTGTGTTCTGTCTCATGAATAGAACTGTGAGAAACCAATGGAGGTGACCTAATGCAAAATGGGCTTAACTTTTTTATATGTTTTTGTCTTGAGTAGGTGCCATATACATGTTATAGATAATTTTTAAAATGTCAATTTCCACTGTAAACAAGCTTATGCTATAAGAGATTTCATTGGAATCAGAGTAGTAAAAAACAACATTCAGAAATTTCACTACAAAATATAAATTATACATTATATTAATGAAATGCATAAATGTTTTACATATTTATAAGGTAGAAATAAAAATTTAAAATATATTAATTAAAAATAGAAACTGTATCATGACTTTGAAAAAATTGTGCAGTCAGGAGTAATTACAGTCAAGATTCAAGCATAGCTGGGCACAGTGGCCCATGCCTCTAATCCCAGCATCTTAGGAGGCTGAGGCAGGAGGATTTGGAGTAAAAGTGAGGCTCCAAGCAAATCATTGAGATCATCTCTCTGAATAAAATACAAAATAGGGCTCAGTAATCGAGTGCCCCTGAGTTCAATCCCTGGTACCAAAAAAAAAAAAAAAAGAAGAAGAAGAAGATTCCAGTATAATTAATCCAACAAATGTGGGGTCTTAGTTTATTCTGTTTTCAGATATTTTTAAATAAATGAATTTTTATTATTTCTTATAAAGTTAGGGAAAATGATGAAATATGTTCCATAAAATTTATTACTTTAAATGTTTTAAGTGTAATTAACACTTAGAACATTTACAAATTTTTGTGATGAAATTTAGCTAAATTTTTTGCTATAGTTATTATTACTTTTTCATATACAAAAACTTTTAGAAATGCCAATTTGAATTATTAGCCAGTTGATAGGGTAACTATCACAAAGAATAATGGTTTACTCATAGTGGATTAGCTTAATAGCAATGGTTTTGTAATTCTGTAAAAATCTTAAAATAACTCTTTTCTAGGTACAGTGAAGGTGAAATTCGATTTAACTTAATGGCTATTGTGTCTGACAGAAAAATGATTTATGAACAGAAGATAGCAGAGTTACAAAGACAACTTGCAGAGGTTTGTGGCATATTTTTAAGTACAAAGTTCTAGTTTAGTAATTCTCTCAGGGAAAGTATCTTTTTTTCTTTTTTAAAATATACATTTAAGCTAGGTATGGTGGCACCACCTGTAATACCAATGGCTTGGAAGGCTGAGACAGGAGGATCGTGAGTTCAAAGCCAGATTCAGCAAATTATTGAGGCCCTAAACAATTCAGTGAGACCCTGTCTGTAAATAAAATAATATAAAAAAGGCCTGGGGATGTGGTTAAGTGCCCCTGAGTTCAATCCCCAGTACAAAAAAAAAAAAATATACATAGTTGGTTTTTAAAATATATACACATATTTTCAATACATATATATATTTATATATATACACACACACACTTACTCAAATCTCCTAAATAGAGATTAAGGGAATGCAATCTGGATTCAGGCTACTTTGATTTAGTTCCTGGCTTTGTCAGATAGTGGCTATCTGAGTTTCTTCATGTAGTGTTAGAATAGTAGTATTTAGTTTATGAGGAGGTTATCATAAGGATAAATGAGACAATATATGTAAACCAATTAAAACAATGAGTGACAACTGGAAGAGCTAAGTAAATGTTAGCTATGAATTGTTGTAACTATTATGATTTCATTATATAATTAAGCAAGTTAGAGGATATTTCTCAAAAGAGTTAATTGAGTACTTTTAGATTCACATTTAATTTCTACTAGTCTTTATGATTACCTTTCTGTACTAAATATGATTAGAGAAGAGAATTAATAGTAGACAGACTTTTTTTTATAATCCCTTGATAGTATGTTCTTAAGAGTATATTTAAGGTAATTTATTGTATAGGTTAATAAAAGATAGCAGTATAGTATATTCATAGTATAGATGGTATTTAGGTAGAAATTTATGTGTTATTGTAAAACTTAGAAATATGATACTTTTTAGAGCTTTTATCCTATAATATTGCCATTTTTAGGTTGATATTTTGTCAATATTTCTAAGGTTAGAAACTTGAAAATAATTATAATGTGTTAATCACTTAAAAATATTCTGGACTTAAGCCTCAATCATTAGGGTGTGCTATTTTTTTTTCTTTCTTCTAAGGAGGAACCTATGGATACAGATCAGGGTAGTAATATGTTAAGTGCTATTCAATCAGAAGTTGCCAAAAATCAGATGCTTATTGAAGAAGAAGTGCAAAAGTTAAAAAGATACAAGGTATGTTTCTAAATATGTTCCTTTAATGTTTTAATAAGAAGCAGTATATTTTGAGATGAAGGTGTGTTTAATGATTGCATTCCCTTCCATCATTTACCAGTTTTTAGAATAATGTGTTGATTCTCTGGCACCCTGCAAAGATAAGTAAGATGTTTTTTCTTTCTTTTTTTTATATTTATTTTTTAGTTTTAGGTGGACACAATATCTTTATTTTTTTATTTTTATGTGGTGTTGAGGATTGAACCCAGTTCCCCGTGCATGCCAGGCGAGTGCACTACCGCTTGAGCCACATCCCTAGCCCCTGGTTTTTCTTTTTTAAAAATGTTGTTACGAACAGATATTTAATCTGTTTGAAGCTTTAGTTCAACTGCAGTTATTCTTATTGATGCTCAGTTATTCTGTATTTAGACTCAGGAGCCACTTCAAGCAGTCTCATGTCTTTGACATGATACCTTTACGGTTTGATAGTTTGAGATTTTATTCACATACACACACACACACACACACACACACTCAGAATAACAATACCAGTAATGTTCATAACAATTGAATTTTTTTCCTTAAATTTGTTTTATTCCTTAGGATGTATCCCATTTTATTTATTATTGTGTGGTACTGGGGATTGAACAGGGTTGGGGAGCACTTTACCATAGAGCTGCATTCCAGTCCTTTCAATTTTTTAAATTTTGAGACAGTGTCTCACTAAGTTGCTGAGGCTGGTCTCAAACCATGGCCTCCTGAGTCGCTGAGATTACAGAGGTTACAGGATTACTCTTCCAGCTAGCACATATCCTATTTTAGATGTACAATCAAATTGCTGTGTTTTATTTTTTTATTTTTTTTTAAAGAGAGAATTTTTAATATTTATTTTTTAGTTCTCGGCGGACACAACATCTTTGTTGGTATGTGGTGCTGAGGATCGAACCCGGGCCGCACTGCATGCCAGGCGAGCGCGCTACCGCTTGAGCCACATCCCCAGCCCCGAAACTCTTAGTTTATTAGGGAAATTAT